CGCGGAGAGCTGCGAAACACGCGCCGAGCCAGTATGCGACGCAGTGGACTCGGTATGTTAGATGAGGCGCGCCCGGAGCGATGCGTCGAAATAGGAACAAAACTGGAAGAGCCTCTGAGAAGCGAACTCCTTTCCCTCCTCAAGGAAAACATCAACACTTTCGCCTGGACAGCAGAAGATATGCCAGGCATAAGCATCGACGTGACCTGTCACGAGCTGAATGTGGATCCGACCTTTAAACCAGTGAAGCAGAAAAGAAGGAAGCTCGGCCCCGAACGAGCTAAAGCAGTTAACGACAAAGTCGAAAGGTTACTCAAAGTAGGATCAATCGCCGAGGCCAAATATCCGGACTGGCTCGCAAATCCGGTGGTCGTAAAGAAGAAGAACGGCAAGTGGCAAGTATGTGTGGATTTTACTGACCTCAACAAGGCGTGCCCAAAAGATAGCTTTCCCTTGCCACACATAGACCGGCTCGTCGAAGCCACTGCAGGGAATAGACTGTTAACGTTTATGGACGCGTTCTCCGGCTACAATCAGATCCTAATGCATCCTGACCATCGAGAAAAAACGTCATTCATAACTGATCGCGGGATATACTGCTACAAAGTCATGCCGTTCGGGCTCAAGAACGCAGGAGCAACGTATCAATGGCTCGTCAATAAAATGTTCGCAGCTCATCTCGGAAAAACTATGGAAGTATACATCGACGACATGCTAGTCAAATAACTCAAGGAGGAAGACCACGTCGCGCATCTACGGGAATGCTTCGAACAATTGAACAAGCACAACATGAAACTAAACCCGGCAAAGTGCAGGTTCGCGGTCACCTCGGGAGAATTCCTCGGCTATCTGGTAACTCACCGAGGCATAGAAGCAAATCCCAAGCAGATCAAAGCTTTAATTGAGATGCCCTCTCCAAGGACAAAGCGCGAAGTGTAGAGGCTCACAGGAAGAGTCGCCGCGCTAAACAGGTTTATTTCCCGTTCCACAGACAAATGCCTGCCCTTCTACGACAACCCTCCGAGGAAACAAAAAATTTGAGTGGGACGAACGATGCGAGACGGATTTCCAGGAATTGAAGAATTATCTGGCGAGCCCACCAATCTTAGCAAAACCAGTCGAAGGAGAGCCACGCTTCCTCTACATCGCAGTGTCTGCTACAGCTGTAAGCGGAGTGCTTATTAGAGAAGAACGATCCGAGCAAAAGCCCATTTTCTACATCAGCCAGACATTAACCGACGCCGAGACTCGCTACCCCCAGATCGAGAAGGTTGCCCTAGCCGTCGTAGTCTCGGCTCTGAAACTGCGCCCGTACTTTCAATCACATTCGATTGTTGTGCTCGCTACGCTTCCACTACGCTCGATCCTACACAGCCCTAGCCAATCCGGTCAGCTCGCCAAGTGGGCCATAGAGCTAAGCGAATACGACATCGAGTATCGGAACAGGTTGTCTGCAAAGTCACAGGTGCTCGCAGATTTCCTCATTGAACTTCCCGTCGAAGCAACAAACGAGCCAACACTAGACGAAGTGTGGACGCTGCACGTCGACGGCTCATCGTCTAAACACGGCTCGGGAATAGGAATCTGCCTCACCTCTCCCACCGGAGAAATATTGCAGCAGTCTTTTCGCCTGAACTTCCACGCCTCGAACAACGAAGCGGAATACGAAGCACTGATCGCCGGCATACGCTAGTGCAGGGAATTAGAGTTTGAAAGATAAGAACCTTTTGCGATTCACAGCTCGTAGCATGTCAGTTCAACGGAGAATACGAGGCAAAGGACGGACGAATGGGAGCTTACCTCAAAGTGGTCCGAGAGTTGGTGCAAAAATTCGATGAGTTCGAATTCACTCGTATCCCCCGAGGAGAAAACACCTCGGCCGACGCATTGGCAGCACTCGCTTCGACCTCGGCCCCAGACCTCTGGCGAACGATCCCAGTCGAATTCATCAAACGTCCTAGCATCGAAGAGGTGGAAGGAGTTCGGCTGATAAATCCTCCTGAACAAGAACCAGAGGACGACGAAGCCGTTCCTATGGACGAAGACGCCTCGCCGGCCGAGCCGGAGTACGGCTGCGACAAGGAATGGCTCGGAGCTATCCGAATGTATATCGCCGATGGAGAGATGCCAACCGACAAATGGGAAGCCCGTAAACTAAAAGCTCAGGCCGCGCGGTATGTCCTCGTCGATGGCAAGGTGTTTAAGTGGAGATTTTCAGGGCCTCTCATGACATGCGTCGAAGGACCGGAGGCAAGAAAGATCATGCACGAGGTGCACAGCGGCGCGTGTGGTAACCATTCCAGCGGAAGGTCGCTCGCTATCAAGATTAAACGGCACGGCTACTTCTGGCCCACGATGGTAAAGGACTGCAAGAAATTTACAGCGAAGTGCGAGAAGTGTCAGCGGCACGCTCCAACAATTCATCAACCCACCGAGTTGCTCTCGTCAATTTCATCACCTTATCCATTCATGAGATGGTCGATGGACATCGTCGGACCTCTACATCGCTCGAAGCAGAAGCGTTTCCTGCTCGTCCTCACGGATTACTTTTCCAAATGGGTCGAAGCCGATTCCTACGCAAGCATTGTTCAAGTCGAACACTTCGTCTGGAAAAATATCATCTGCCGACACGGGGTCCCCTACGAGATAGTCACCGACAACGGATCCCAGTTCATCTCAACACGCTTCGAAGCCTTCTGCGAGAAGTGCAAAATCCGCCTCAGCAAATCTACGCCAAGATACCCTCAAGGGAACGGACAAGCCGAAGCAGCCAACAAGACGATCCTCGACGGTCTGAAAAAGAGGCTCGACGCCAAGAAGGGACGGTAGGCGGACGAACTCGAAGGAGTCCTTTGGTCTCATCGAACAACTCCGCGCCGAGCCACCGGGGAAACTCCATTCGCTTTAGTCTACGGATCGGAGTGCGTAATTCCCGCCGAGGTGGATTTCCCAGGTATTTGACGAAGACTTCTACCAGGACAAGAGGGCTTGAACCACTTAATGATGCTAGATGAGCTCGACCTAATCAACGAAAAGCGCGACCAAGCCTTAATTCGAATACAGAACTATCAACAAGCAACGGCGCGATACTACAACAAAAATGTTCGTGGCCGAAGATTCAAAGCAGGGGAGCTCGTTCTCCGGAAGGTCTTCCAAAATACTGCCGAGAAGAACGCAGGAAAGCTCGGAGCAAATTGGGAAGGTCCTTACAAGGTCACAAAAGTGGTTCGTCCAGGAGTCTACGAACTCGCGACACTAGCTGACGAGGCGATTCCAAGATCATGGAACGCAATGCACCTGAAGAAATACTATCACTAAGGATACAGCACGACCAACATGAACTACGGGACGGCTTGATCTCTGCAAAGGGTACGTAGGCAGCCCGTCCTCGGACGGGTTCAGCTGTCCCCCCTCCTAAAAAAGGGGGGGGGGGGGTGGGTACGTATACATACCTCTTTTAACTCTACAATTTTAGCTTGCTCACTTAGGAACATCGCCACTTCGGCACATTCTCAATTCGTTTTGAATCATCTACTTATTTCACGTCTGTTCATTATCGCTTCGGCTAGTTTCTCATTCTTTCTAAATCAGCAACTTATTGTAACAAGTTCGGATTTTTTAATTTTTTCACTCATCACTTCGGCGAGTAATCACGACCTGATTACCTCGGACCTTAATCGGTCCTCAGTTTCAGTTCGGCAAACTAAGCCACCTAACGCATCGTCTCGTTGCTGGCCACAATGGGGCAACAAATACAAAGTTCTCTAAACGGACTTTTACCACCTTTCCTAGGACGAGGGTCCAAGTTACATCCTCTACGGATAAAAATTAAGCGCGCTATAAAAAATATCAGACCAAAAACGTATCAGGTCGCCACGGTTTACTATCACACACGAGAATATAAGCCGCGACTACATCGCTTTCTCTAAAACCGAAGTAAACTCCTAAAACCCGAACAAGCATAGTCATCCTCTCGGAAATGCCGGTCCATAGTCAGATTCAATGAGAATACCAATTCGTCTTTGGCTAACGAAAACGAAAGCCAAAAAGCCCCGTCGTCCTTACGGCTCGGCACCATACAATGCCAAAACGCCTCGTCGTCCTTACTGCTCGGCACCATACAAAGCCAAAACGCCTCGTCGTCCTTACGGCTCGGCACCATACAAAACAAAAATGCCTCGTCGTTTTCACGGCTCGGCACCATTCAAAACAAATACGCCTCATCGTTTACACGGCTCGGCATTACCAGCAAAGATTTGCCTAAACATTATCACGTAACACTCTTTTACAATCAAAGATTTGCCTAGAACCTAAACAAGGTCCTTAAAACAATTCATCCCTTAGCCCATGTTTCGGTCAATTTCGAAAATACAGTTAAGGAAGAAATCAAAATCGCTCTCCACATAACAGCCTTTGTCCTTGAAAATTTTTCGTAAACATTTTTACAGATTAATGGACAAGTAAGTCCGAAAACGGCTAAGGAAAATATATTCATTAAGCGAAAATTAAGAGTCGGGTGGATAAAGCCGTCCAGGCACAAAACACATAAAAGTTCAAAAGAGAGCGGATAACATCCTAAGTACAGAAGCAAGCAAGAAAAATTTGTGAGCCAAAACTCATGCCCCGGGCGTCGGTTTCCGCCTCTTCTTGGACGGCTCGTCCTTCTGGACGGCGACGCCTTTCCCCTTGTCAGTAGCCGAACGTTTTCGGCTAGAGTCATGCTTCTGGACGACTGAAGTCGGTGGCCTCGTCGACTTCGGGAGGGCCAGGATGGCGGATTGCGAAGGAGTCTTACTCCGCGCCGCCGAGCCGTCCCTGGACACCTCGGGGATAATTTCGCCTGGTTCCACCTCGGGCACCACATCTTTCTCAGCCGCCTCGGCAGTGTCGTCTTCTGCGGCTTGCATCATCACATCCCCTTCCCGGCTCGGAGGGTCGGGTTGAAGGACGGCCTCGGTTTGCGCTGAGACCACCTCGGCTTGCGCCGGAACTGCCTCGGTTTACGCGCGAGCCGCCTCGGCAGCTCGTATAGCGGATTCCTCTTCCTCGCGCCTCTTCTTTTCTCTAAGGGCGATTACCACCATCTTCTCCCGGGTATCTCTCGAAGAACTTGAGGACGAAGAACTGACGGGGACTCCGGCAAGGATGGCTCGCGCTTTTTCTACTCTTTCGAGGGTGAAGTTTTTTCTCCAATTAACCTTCCGCGCCGAAAGAAAGTCTCGAACAGTAAAGAGGTCGTCGGGAATCGGGGGAAGATAGCACCGAACTGCAAAACAAAGCAAAAAAGCAAAAGTTTCAGAAAAGGAAGAGAATATCAACTGAATCTCCGAGCCCAGGCAAAGCTTTGGGTCGGCTACCAAGTGGTCCCCAAGCGGTCTTGGTTCCGTGAACGTAATCTTCGCCGACCGACGCCTCGTTCACCAAGACGTAGAAGAAGCGTTGAGTCCAAAACTGATCCTTGCTGGGAAAACCGCCAATAATCCGTCGCTTCGCCTTGTTGGAAATATAGAACCTATTTCCTTTCGGAGCTTTCCTGATTTCCAGCAAGTTCAGCAGGTGATTCAGCTCGATGTCAAGACCGCATTCGAAGCTTCGGAGTAAAATGCCGATCATATGCCGTAATCCCCTCGGCATAATCTGCCCAATCGAGATCCCGTGTTTCCAAAGGTATTCGAGGATCACTCCGGGGATCGGGAACCAGAGAAAGCAAAGCTCGAAGAACGCCTCGTACAGAGTGAAGTGATTCCCTGGAGGCTTGTCGGCTCGGTCGCTCTTCTCGGGAACAACAAACTCCACCGCCTCGGATATCCCGAAGCGATGCCTCAACGCCTCGAGCGACTCAAGGGAAGAAAGCGTAGAGCCAGGCGGATCAGGCTTTAGTCTTTTAACTCGTGGCCCTCGCCCAGATGTGGAAGCGCCTCGGGACGCCATGAGACGTTCCAACACGTACTTCGCCTCAAGTAGGTCAAAGGGAAATACTTCCTCCTCGTCGAAGCCAACGGCTCGTCATCTGCAGAATCCTCGTTTGATGGATTCGCGTCATTCGACGCCTCGTCAGATGAACAATTGGAAGGGTTCGGCGAAACAGACACCTCAGAGGATTCTGTTGAACTTCTCGCCTCGGCATCTACGCGGCTCGGCTTGTAATGAAAAAGCGAGTCTAACGAATCGTCGGAGCGGCTCGACATGATTTACAAGTTATACAAGAATTACAGAAGGAATCGGCGAACCTCTGCCGGAAAAAGATCAGGGATGGCGGAGACCTCGGACACCCTAGCCGGAAAATAAATAAACTAGTGAGATAAAGAAGAGAGAAGGGAGAGCTACCTTTAGTGAAAACGAGTGAGTCTGGAGATAATGAGGAAGAGTGAAGGAGCTCACCTATTTATAAAAAAACGAAGCGCGTGAATTCTGCGTAAACCTCGGGAAGCCGTCCAACAGCGCGTGGGATCCGCGGTGAACTAGCTATACCGGACTGCGTCGTTGGCACGCGCCGAAAGATCAGGAATTTCTTCTCGGAAGACCAACAGTCAGGGTACCCAGGTTAACGAAACGGCTTGGTATTGACTCTTTCCCTCTTGAAACGCTTCGTCATTAACGAAACGGCTCGGTATTGAATCTGTTCTCTTGAAACGCCTCGTCGTTAAAGAAACGGCTCGGTATTGACTCTTTCTCTCTTGAATCGCCTCGTCGTTAACGAAACGGCTCGGCGTTGAATCTGTTTCTTGAATTGCCTCGTCCTTAACAAAACGGCTCGGAGTTGAATATGTTTCTTGAAACGCCTCATCGTTAACGAAATGGCTTGGCATTGACGTTCTTTCTTGAGACGCCTTGCCGCTAACAAAACAGCTCGGCACGAGCTTTCTCTCGAAACGCCTCGCCATTTGTTCGGCTCGGCATAACCTCCTCAAATCACCTCGTCATGGGCTATCACTATTAAAAAAAAAAAAAACAAAATCGCCTCGTCCTTAATCTTGCCTCGGCATCTTCGGTACCATCTCGAACACCTCGGTATCCTCGGCACTCCTTGGGAACGCCTCGGCGTCTTCATTCCCAAAATGCCTCGGCGCCTTCATTCCCAGAACGCCTCGGCGCCTTCATTCCCAGAACGCCTCGGCGTCTTCATTCCCAAAACGCCTCGGCGTCTTCATTCCCAAAACGCCTCGGCGTCTAACTCAGTGGTTTATCCTACAGTCGGAAATAATGAACCTCGTCACTCTCGCCTCCGAAACTGACGAGCTGGGGGGCTAACTGTTGGGGTCGGTTTTCACCCCAAGTAGATAAACCACCTCAGAATGGCTAAGTATGGAAGAAAGATAAGTGGGAGAGCCGTGGTCGCCAAGTGGGAGAGCCATGGTCGCCAAGTGGGAGAGCCGTTCTCACCATGACAAGTGGAGAGCCGTTCTCACCAAGACAAATGGGAGAGCCGTGCAGATAGGCCAGTAGGGAGAGCCGTGAAAGAAGACAGGAAGACAGATTATTTACTTGCCTAATGTGGTTTTTCTGTCTTTGGTTTGTTTTACAGGTTCTATTCATAGTCTTAAGTCTTAGAATATTTCTTTAGTTATTGCACACGTCTATACTTGTTTCTTAGATTCCCAGAAATCGTGTCTTTTAATGTAATTTGTTTCAAAGTCCCCAAGAAGGGCAAAGCTGCATCGGACTCTCCTATAAAGTACCTTTTAAGAAGCCGTGTATTTGGACGCTAATATCAATAAACAACGCACTTCTTCAAGCAAAGTCTTTCCCTTAGAATTCATTGAATTCATCTAGAGTTGGTGTTTGATCCTTCTCTTAAGAGCTGGTGTTTGATCCATCTCTTGCCGGTCTTATCAAAGCTCATTCCATAGATCTTTGTGGCGACTTTCGTTCCACCGTGTGCATCACGACCGTACCATCCCCTTGACTTAGTCAGAGAGAGTTACACAACCAACTGATCGAGTTCCATCCACTTTCACTTCAAATCCCTTAATTATTCTTGTTGAGAGAGTTACACAACCAGCAACAAGGGTCCATTCACTACCTATAGGCCGATGCCTATATCATCTGGTATCAGAGCCAAAAGGTTCCACACCAGGTTTTATCCTTTCATACCTTTCGGTTATATCTCTTTTGCATCTTCGTTTTCTTGTCGCATACTTATTCAAAAAAAAAAAAAAACCAAAACAAAGAGTTCTATTCATTCGCATACATAACATATCATCTTGAGCATTCATCTATATCTCTAGAATCATTAAATCCTTTGCATCATTCATAGCATCGACTAGTTGCGGCTCATTGTTAGGACAAGAATCTGTCAAAGCCCTAGTTAGCTGAAAAAGGAAAGTCTTCATAATCACGTAAAAAAAAAAAAGAAAAGAGTTTACATTTTACTCATTGTCTTGTCATTTCATTTAGCATAAAAAAAAAAACAAAGAAAGAAGAGATTTCTTTAAACTCATTTAGTCGCGTCTTAGCTAACTCCTTTTTCACTAGAGACCCTTTGCACTTGATCTTTTTGTTTGCTCTTGTTCGCAGACATCATCCATGGGAGACAACGCGACACAAGTACCAGATGTCATGCAACAGCTACTTGATGGTATGAGGAGTGTTAGTGACCGTCTCAACCTCATGGAGCAACGATTTCCACCTCCAGCTCATCCCAACAATAATGGACACCAACCAAGGGAGCAACCACGGCAACAACTTGACGATGGTGAGGAAGAAACCGATGAAGACATGCCAAGTCTTGAAGACGACCTACCACCTGACCCAAACCCGCAATACGACAGGCAACACAATCAAGGCCAAGGCCAACATCAGCGCCGTGGAAGAGGAAGAAGCCGAGAGAGTGATAGAGAAGACGACAGATATGGGGGAAAAGATCTTAAGATTACCCCACCCACCTTTGCTGGAAAGGTCAACCCCGAGGCTTACCTGGATTGGGAAAGACGAATGGACCACATCTTTGATTACTACCAATATTCAGAGGCCAAAAAGGTGTCCTTAGCCGTCCCAAAACTGACTGACAATGCTCTCACGTGGTGGGACCGAGAAGTTTATGAGAGACGGAGGCTAAGACATGGTTAGATCACTACTTGGGAGGACATGACATTCCACCTAAAAAAGAGGTATGTACAGCTTATTAATCTAGAGACTTACAGAAACGTTTTCGGAAGTTATCGCAGGGAAACAGGCCCGTAGAAGACTACTACGAGGAGTTTGAGACCATTAGAAACCGATTGGAGCTTCAAGACTTGGAGGAGACATTGATGGCCCAATTTGTCGATGGCCTCCAAGATAGAAATGCGAGAAAGGTGGAGTGGCAGAGCTATGAGTACATGGAAGATCTGCTGCACTTTTCCATAGAAGCTGACCAGCATTTCAAGAAGAAATCAGCCATTAACCAAGGAAAATCTACTTGGACTCAACCCATCCCTAAACTGATGGAAAAGGGAAAATCCATAGAGGTGGATAATCGGTTCAAGAAACCAGTTTTCGGACCATCAAAGCCGGCTCAAAAGGAGCAAGGCAAGGCTCCTATTCAAAGGTCTTGAGATATAACATGTTTTAAGTGTCACGGAAAAGGCCAATTTGCAAAAGAATGCCCAAATCAAAGGGTGATGGTGTTGAGAGACAACGGAGAGTATGAGTCACAAGATGAAGCCGAGCTAGAAGCCACTGATTCAAAAGAAGAGATAACCGATTTTCCCGAGGTTGGGGAGATGCTGGTGATCAGAAGATATCTTGGTGCACTATGTGACCCCAAGACACTTCTAAGGAAAAACATCTTTCATACGAGATGTAGCATGGGGAACAAGGTATGGAGTCTCATTATAGACGGTGGCTCTTGAAATAACGTGGCTAGTAAGTATCTTGTAGACAAATTAGTTATTGAAAAGACAAAGCACCCAAGTCCATACCGTTTAAGATGGCTCAATAATACCACGGAGGTGAGGATTGCGGAGCAAGTTTTTGTGCCATTCAGGATAGGGAAGTACAGTGATCAAGTCAAGTGTGACGTCGTACTTATGCAGGCCGGTCACCTGCTCCTTGGGAGGCCATGGAAATTTGACAAAGAAAACGTGCATAACGGTAGCACTAACTACTACTCTTTCACTCACAACAACAAGAAGCACAACTTAGCCCCTCTCACGCTATCAGAGGTTCATGAAATGCAACAGGCCATGAAAAAAGGGAAAGAGCTAAGTAAAACCAATCTATTTGTCTCACCGAGTACAATTCTTAAAACTCTCGATCATAAGCAACCGTTATTACTCATGATCTTTAAGGAAATTTTTCTTTCAGGTAATGAAGAAGGTCAAGAGCTTCCACACGAGGTAACTCAGCTGTTGGAGAAGTTCCAAGATGTCTTTCCAGAGGAGATACCAGCCGGCCTCCCACCCATAAGAAGCATTGAGCACCAGATCGATCTAGTACCCGGAGCACCCTTGCCTAACCGAGCCGCATACAGAGTTAACACAATAGAGGCAAATGATCTAGAGGTTCAAGTCAAGGATTTGATGTCTAAAGAATACATAAGGGAGAGCCTTAGCCCGTGTTCAGTGCCAGTCTTGTTGGTGCCAAAGAAGGACGGCTCTTGGAGGATGTGCGTGGACTGTAGAGCCATTAAACAACATCACCATCAAATATAGGCATCCAATTCCGAGACTAGACGACATGTTGGACGAGTTAAGTGGAGCTACTATCTTCTCAAAGGTGGATCTAAAGAGTGGCTATCATCAGGTGAGGATGAAGGAAGGAGATGAGTGGAAAACTGCCTTCAAGACCAAGCAAGGTCTATACGAATGGCTTGTGATGCCTTTTGGTCTCACAAACACCCCAAGTACCTTCATGAGACTCATGAACCACGTCTTGAGAGCATACATCTGTAAGTTTGTAGTGGTTTACTTCGATGATATTCTAACGTACAGCCAATGCTTGAAGGATCA